GGTGCCGTAATTTATTTTATGGACTATAGAAAAAGAATGGGTGTCTAAAAGGCAAAAAACTTGGTTGCTCGCCACAGTTTAAAGCCGAAAGAACAAATGTACTGTTTGAAAGTCGGCGACAAATCACACAATTCGAATTCATAAATCTACAGAATACAGTCAATTGGACTGGACAATGGACCGCCTCTATTCAATGGATTTCTAATCTCACTAGGCCGTGTCTTTAAGTAATACTTAAATAACTTATAAGCATTAAACAATCATGCGAATGCATGTGTTAGAGCGTTGAGAGTAAATATGCGGGGTGAAATATGATTAGATTGATAAAACTTAACCTTAGTGTTTGGTTTCAAGCAAACGTATATTCTATTCTATGATTTGTACGTAGTAAAACATTTTACATAATTTAAACATTTGTAGCATTTGGTGAGAAATCCGCATTAAAGCGACAAATTGATGTTGATGCCTTTTTCAAAAGTTTTCCGGCTGTTCGCGGTTACACCGAGATGAATAAATAAGTTTCCTCAACGCGCTGCGGCTTTTCTCCCTTGTAATATGCTTGCCTTTTTATCATGCAAAAAGGTTGCCGTATTTGACGTTTTTAAAACCGTTCTTTTCACCCCAGATAAGCATTTCCACCCCACCCTTGTATCAACATGGATATTAAATTGTATCCGCCGTATTTATTTAATTTCCTTGTCAAACGCTTCTCGAGTATGGGTTAGCCGATTTATAAAGATGAAGAGAAAAATATAGGGCGTATCAAGAATCGGTCAGAAAAAGCGGTCGGCAAAAAATGCAACACGTTTTCGAAAACACACTTAAAAATCTATAAATATTCAAATGATCTCTGAGAACACTAATTCATTGAACCTTTCAGAACTTCTCAGTCGGCCAAGATACAAGTTCGTAAATCGTCGTATATTTACAACGAAATCTGACAGCGCCTCAGCCCATTGTTCTCTTTTCTGGCAGTTTTATTCTCTTGATGCAGTGTTTTACAAGACCATACAATGTCGCGAACCCCGTGCCATTATAAAACTCGAATAAATTTACCAGAATAATATTTTATAAGTAACTTTATAACTTAAAGACCGAAGATAGCATAGCATATCTTCTGCTTGTAGTAGGTGAAGAGTATTAATACAATAATTACTATTGCTAGTTTTTTGTTGAGGATTTTCAAAATTTTTCCAAAACGTTAATAATCCCTTTCCCGCCCATAAATTAACACGACGCTGTTAATTCAATGATCCGTTTTATATAGCCTTTAAGGTGAAAAGAAAATCTAATAAAAAAAAGGAAATAAAGCAGTTAAAAGATGATTGAAATCGGAGAGCGTACTGGTAGGTTGAAAAAATCTGACCGCAAAACGGCAACTCGACCAGTCTGGTCATTAAAATCACGAACAGCGCCCAATTTCCCTCATAACATGGGGCATTATGTCAGCATTACACAGACAGTTAAAATCTGTTAGTAAAAGCTTACATATGATTTGTTATTGCGGGTTTTCGCTACCACAGAGCGAGCATTTCCAATAACGACCGTGATTATTTGGTCAATTCTCATATTCTTTTGTTCCGGAAAAATACCTGCTGCTCATCGTTCTGAAATCCATTTTCGATAATTACGATTGTCCCATTCAAAACCAGAATTTTAACAACAGAACGAACTAGAAAATTTAAAATACCTGTCATTTGATAACATTCCTAATAGGAGATTTTGGCAAATCAAATAAATTTTGCTATTCAACAGACGAAATACCCAGGAAAATGAAATTATTTTATTAGCCCTGGATGACTCTCAATAAAATGTTTCCAAAAATGATACAGCTTATAATAGGGTAGTGGAGAAGGTATAATTTCAATGAAATCGAAGATCTATGCTTGATCTATGGAGTAAATAAAAAACATTCGTATCAAAAGAAATTTCAGATAAAATTACTAACCTTGTTTAAAACGGCGGTAAAAGTAGAGTTTTGGGACACACTATTTGAACGGAAATATTTCGCGCCCTAATTCTACGGCATAGCTGTTGTATTTAAGTATGAATTAAATAAAACCTACGTTCGATATTCGACACAAACTTACTCTTTAGTGCAAAAAAGAGAGATATATCAGCGTCTCTCGGGTATCATTACATTTAGGCGCACCCTCAACATAACCCCACTTTTTGAGAGAATTCTATTTGTCAATCAGTGCGCACTGAGTTTATCGGCATCTTTTTCTAAAAGCATGTAAAATATAAGGACGCGCTATTGGACATACATAACACCTATGACGTAATTTCCTGGCGGTAAATTATAGCGTTTAAAATAAGTAAAAATTTGTTAACTTTTTTTTACGTATATTGTTTTCTAAAATCAAAGAATCATCAACAATTGTTTATTTTGTTATGAAGATTATTAAAAAAAATATTTCAAAAAATTGTCCACTACCCTATTGCCATCCAATTGAAGAAAATAGTCTTTCAACTTCTTATTCCTGGGCAAATGAAATTTTAGGCAGAAATGAAACTTTATGCCAATAGGGTAACATAAATAGGACCAATATAGCAATTCAAAAAATATTTTCCTAGGAAAAGTTATCCTTACACTGCTTTTCGCAGAACATTTCACGCAAAAGAGGATTTCACACCACAAATAATACTCTGGAGCTTTTTTCGATACCTACTCAAGATTTTTTAGAAAAAAGTCCATAGGACGTGCACATAGAACAGTTATTAGTTTTTGGGCACAAATTTGATAAACCTGCCCAACAAAATTGATTCACATTTTTACAATAGAATCATTGGCATTTATCAAAGGCATGCGTATTTAATAGGTCTCTCAAACACATTCTTACATGTGGGTTCTTTGATGGCTAAATAAGCCTATTCTGAACCAACAGCTTTCCCCATATGAATGCACCCCGACTTAGCGGTAACTGGTCGCTGTTGTAAACCAGCTCTCACCAGGCCTTCTCGTTCTTTTCTACGACTCACACCGATCTCACAGTTGTTTGCCTTGAGGAGATCTTTGTATCGTTTAAATTGCTCTCCTTGGTAGCATTAGTGATTCTGCAGTTGGTAATATACATATAATTTGCTGCGTTGCCCCATTGCAGGTGGCTTCTCATTGTATTTCAAACTGTTCTTCCTTCGGCGATTCTGCCAGTTTATTTCGAGTATTCTTGTTAAATACCGCGGTGGTTCCTCATCACGTGTTGCTTCATGTTGCTTCAATCCGGTTATGATCTCAAATACTGGGTCCGTTGTAGGTAAAAACAGGGGCGTTCAGGTTGTCATATAGTGAACGAAATATGTTGATACAATAAGGCGGACAGCAATATTTTCCAAAAAGTTACACGATAAAGGTTTCGTAACGTTAACGTTTCGGGTGGTTCCTTCGGCCAGAGGTAGAAGTCAGTTAGAGAGAATCCTAGCAAGATATGCTTCTGCAAAGGGGCAGTAATGTTCCTCTGTAATTTCTACAATGTACCTTGTCGTTTGAACAGAGTGAGAATAGAGGTGTCTCGCAATCTGTGGGAATCATCTCAGTCATCTCAGTGTTCCATACTTTGGCAATGAACCTAGGTGTGTGTTCGACTAGCGCACGAATCCATACCTTGAAAAGCTCAGCAAGAACTCGAACGCCAGTCTGGACAGCTACCGCAACATCTTAATTAATCTTGCTTGTGTGTTGGTTGGTAGCTTTTTCAACCCCTTCGTGGAATGGAACTTCACTCACATGGTATTGAATGAGTTTTTGAGGAACTTTGTTGAAGACGTCATCATCCGTGTGGGAACCTTACCTGTTCCAGAAATTGATTCTTCCATAGGGAGCTGGATGTCTGAGTAGCTCTAAGTAGTCCTATCTCTAGTTCTAAGGACTTCTAGACCTTTTGCAGAGGAACCATAAGTTGCTTTTATGAGGCTGAAGAAGACTCTGACGTTATTAGAGGGTGGTAAATCTATCTATCCGGTTGATTTCGTTGTCCGCGTATTTCAGCCTTTGCTTGAAGATAGTTTTGTTTTTGAGCTGATCCAGAGATTTAAGGTTTTCCTTTTCTGATTTTCTTTACTGTTATCGTCAAACCAATCCTTGTTATGAAAGCTCGTTAATTCTTGGCAGACTGTCAGCATAACTATTTGAGCATTGACTGATATGCAGCAGGCAAGGAACTAGAAGTTGGTTTCGGTGTTGTCGCAGAGCGATATCTACTTGCCTCCTATTAGTCACCTTTGCTACGCTACAGGTCAATAACAGGTAATTAGTAATAGTCTCTGACATCTCACCTTATTGTTGTTGTGAAAAAGTTGTCAATAGATTTCAATCTATCAATTCAACTCAGGTTTTATTCAAGTTTAAAAGTAAGAATGAATGAGGAATCCGTATTTTCACCATTTTCGCAACTATTACGAAGCAAGAGTAAAACTTCGCAATGTCTAAAAGGGTTTACACCAGGTCATACAGCGATCATGACCCCCAATACAACCCCACGACGATATGGCACCCAACTCAATGGTACGAACACCCAAAATAAAAACCCTGAAGGATCTGCACCGCCACATTTTTCGATTTATGGAGAAACTTCGCAACAGAAATTATCAGAGATTATATTACAGGATGTGGCTTCCATAACTTCTGAACTTTGGAAAGAGATTAGGCTCACAAGGCAACCTCCTGTCCAGCTACCAGTGTTTTCAGGATTGGATTGACAGAGTCCTAAAAAATTTGTCCAGGAATTTAGAGCCTATTTTGAAAAGTATAAAGTTGTCAAACTAGTCAAGTAAGGCATCATCTGGAGGGAGAAGCAAAATCATGGTTCTCTGCGTATGAACTACATGACGTAAGTTTTGATTCTTTCTGTAATAGACTTTTTGAAAGATTGGATTCTCTAAAGGCCTCTCTATATAGAAAATTATATGGCGAAAAGCAAACAAATGAGGATAGTTCAATCTTTTTGACTAACAAACGTAACTTGTTTTATCATCTTGGACCAACTTTAGAAGAAAAAATAATGGTTATAGGAGTTTTAGAATTATTGAAACGCGATTTACGCATTAATTTGAGAAGAGATTTTTCAAACTTTGAAGAATTAATGCAAGTGTCAGTATTGTATGAAAACGATCTCAAAGATATAAATGGAACAGATGAGAAAAGGATAAAAAGTACATCAAATTCAAGACCTCCTTCAGCTTGTAGATTCTGTGGTGAGTGGCACTATCATAAAGACTGTCCACGACCAAGACAAAGTTATCTGAATACAAAAAACTAGCTGAAGGTGGGCCACCAAAAGAGCCGACCATAAGCATTATTAAAAACTATAATTAAGACAAAAAATTACCACGTATTCAAATTAAAGTAAATAACAAGCAAATTAAAGCATTACTCGATACGGGAGCAAGCGATTCATTCCTAAATAGGCGTTTCGCCCTGAGTAATAATTTAACAGACAATATAACAACTGTAAGATTAGCCAAAGAAGATGTTACTTTCAAAACATAAGGTTTCCAAATTGTGCCTATTTTACTGGATGGAATTGTCAGAAGATGCTATTTTAGGACTGGATTGGTTAAAAATGCATAATGCAATTTTAGAGTTTCTTCAAGGTTGTATTTACTTGGGAAAACAATTCAGGTTCACAGTATATCGGAATATTATTCCTGAAAAAACAAAACAAAAACCAAATCAACAAAATGTTACTTTCGATTTAACTCATTTAATAGACAAAACAATAGGCACGTACAAAAACATATTGAATAGTTTTCATGATATTTTTGAAGAAGGTTTGCGACAGCCAGCTACAAAATTAGTAGATCATAGAATGACACTTATAGACAAAACACCATTTAAGATCAGACGTTATCAATATTCCCCGGAGAAAAGAGAAACTATTCAAGATGAGGTAAGAAAAATGTTAGCTGCAGGTGTAATCAAAAGAAGTCGTTCTAGTTTTTGTTCACCAGTTGTGATTGTGGGAAAAAAAGATGGTTCACTTCGGTTTTGTGTTGATTACCGTCAACTGAATAAACAAACTGAGCTAATGGTATCGCAGTTACCGCATATATATATATAGATAGAAGATATATATAGAAGGGATACAATAAAAGATCTTAGTAATGCACAGGTATTTTCATCATTGGATTTAAAAAGTGGATACTGGCAAGTGTAAATGGAACCGGAAAGTACTAAATTTACAGCTTTTGGAACTCCAGATGGTGCTATGTACGAATTCTTAGTCGTGCCGTTTGGTTTAAGGAACGCTCCATCTACATTTCAAAAACTCATGACTGAAGTTTACATTGACAGATTTGTCGAAGTATATTTGGATGAGATAATAATCTATTCAAATAATCACGAAGATCATTTGTTTCACCTTGGGTTAGTTTTGGAGAGACTTAGAATACATCAACTTCGATGCTCTTTAAAAAAATGCAATTTTGGAGTAAATGAATTAAATTATCTGGATTACAAAATCCCAAGTGCAAACAATTCACAACAAGAACATCACCTGCTTCGTATAAAAAATTCTAAAAAACCAACTACCATGGAAGAATTGCAGTCATTCCTTGGTCCGGCTAACTGGCTTAGAAACTACATTCCAAATTTTGCAACAATTACTGCACTACTTACTGAACCCACAGGCAAAAAAGTGTTTACTTGGAACCCTGAAGCTGAAAATGCATTTATACAACTTAAAAATGCACTTGAGAAGCCGTTAGTATTACACAGGCCAATTTTTGAAAACCCATTTATACTACAAACATATGCTAATCAAGAGGGAATGGGAGCAGTTTTGTTTCAATGGGGACCTGGAAATCATCGTCAAATTATATCATATGCCAGTTCAAAATTTAATAAAACAGAAAGAAAATACCATGTAAATGAACAAGAAAGTCTTGCGGTAGTCTGGGCATGCATTTAGATCATATTTAGAAGACAAATCATTTAAACCTATCACTGATAGTAAAGCACTCACTTGGCTAAATAAATATATAGATGGAAGAGCTAAATTAACTCGTTGGGCACTGCTTCTTCCGGAATTCAACTCTACATTACAACACTGTGCGGGTAAAGACAATGAATTTGCTGACTTTCTATCAAGAAATCCAACAGATGATGACGACCATATGGCTAGACAGGAGTATGATCTGATCAGAGGCTGTTACCTCCAATGGTGAACTTAATCACGTTGGGAAAAGGAATTTACGAGGCTACTGTTCAAGAACAAAAGGAGGATCCTACAATTCAACGTGACATTCAGTGAGGAAAACTATATAGAAAGCAAAAGGAGCGAACATTTAACAAAAAAAGAAAGCATTTCAAAATCACGATATATTGTTGAAGTGAAATTTTATTTTACATAAAGTCAGGCTCCAAATAAATTGTAACTCCGAGGGATCTTAACGAAAGAGTTCTGTATGAATATCATGATGCTTCTTCTTCGTCTCATTCCGGAAGAGATGAAACATACAGAGCAATTTCAAAACATTAGTACTGTACTGGCGTTTGGAAAGGGAAAGATGTTCGTGATCATGTGCGATTGTGTATGTCATTTGTGCTTCAACAAAAGCGGGTTCAAGTCAGCCTCATGCTCCGTTAAAACCGAAAGCACCCTCAAGACCATGACAAAGTTTAGGTATGGATATAATGGGACCCAACCCAAGAACAAAGAAGGGTTAAAAATATCTTGTGGTAGTAACAGACCTATGCACGAAATGGATTGACGCGTGGCCAGTACACGATGTTACAACTTCTGTTCTCATCAAATTTCTCAAAAATATTTTTGGTAGATGGGATTTTCCAGAATATGTGATAATAGCTTGCGGTCCGCAATTTGGAAGCAACGAATGGCAACATTTTTTAAACAGTTTATTCATAGAACATTATACAACTCCGATTTATCATCGGAGAGCAAATCCAGTAGAAAGGCGAAATCAGGAGCTGAAAAAAGCTTTAAGGATTCAGTCTATGTCAGCAGGTTTTAACCAGTGGGATAAAGATATTGACAATATTTTATTTTCGATAAACAACAGAAAAAACCGAGCCCCGGGATTCGCTCCCAGTGTATTGCTATTTGGGCATACTCTTGTAAGGCCTGGAGAACGGAAGAATCCAAATATTAAAACATTGGAAAATACGGCGAAAGAAACAGAAAATCGGCTTTTACAAGCAAAAGAAAACCAAATAAAATTTAATACTAAGGTCTATACAAATTCAGGTAGGAAATGTAGGTCAGCAGATATTGATTCGTGAATTTCGCAAAACAAGGGAAAGATCTTTGGGGAAAACATGGACATGACCACATAAAATAACGGGGAAAAAAGGTGAACGAACATATGAGGTGTTAAGAGACGATCATTTTATAAAAGTTCATGTAGATGATATAAGACAATTTGAAGGTGTTCCGTTTCGAAGCAGCAACGAGTCGAGCCTAATTGATGGTGAGCCTAGAAGTGGAACTGAGAACCTTCAAAGATATAGAGGACCAGTAACAGAGCTAAAAATACTGGGTCATGATTTTTTTTTTGTTAAGAGGGGTGATGTCGCAGAGCGATACCTACTTGCCTGTTATTAGTCACCTTTGCTACAGGTCAATAACAGGTAATTAATAATAATCTCTGACATCTCACCTTTTCGGTATCTTTATTGTTGTTGTGAAAAAGTTGTCAATAGATTTCAATCTATCAATTTAACTCAGGTTTTATTCAAGTTTAAAAGTGAGAATGAATGAGGAATCCGCATTTTCACCATTATCGCAACTATTACGAAGCAAGAATAAAACTTCGCAATGTCTAAAAGTGTTTACACCAGGTCATACAGCGATCATGACCTCCAATACAACCCCACGACGATAGTGTCTCCATAAATCGTTCAATATTTAACCTACGCTGTGGTCCTTTCCTTTGTTTTTATCATTTTGGTGGTAGTTGTAGCATCATAACAGGTCGGACCATCCAATGGTCAATCCAGCAATAATCGGCGTGGATTATAAGCTCTGGTTAGTTTCTTAGCTCTTTGGTCACAAAGTCGATAAAATTCCAGTGCTCCCATATTGGATGTTGCTCCGTTGCTTTCAGCTCCTTCTTTTGACGAGAGAGAGTATTTATGACGACAAGATCGTGCTGTGAGAATTTAGTCAGCATTTGAGTGACTATAGCCGGAATGGATCTGTCGACTCAAATATTGAACATAAAAAATGTTTGTACACGGTTAAAAATTAATTTAAAATATATTCAGCATCAGAGCACAATTTCAAGAGTTGTGCAGCGCCACAGAGAGGCAGGCCAGTACTTTCGAAGAAAGGTTCAAGGGGATAGCAGAACTACCACAGCAGTTGACGACCGTTTTTTGCGGCTTATGGCTTTGAGAACTCGCCACATTACTGCTCAATTTCTTCAAAATGAATTTATGGCGGCAAGAAATTTGCACGTTCCCCTTCAGAAAGTAAGAAATCGTCTTCGTGGACACAATATTTGGCCCACATTTGACCAGGGCATACAGAGTTGTTCACGGATGAATCAAGGTTTTGCCTATTTTCATCCGATAGGCGTATGCCTGTGTATAGACGTCTAGGTGAACGTTATCTTCAATGTTACTTTCGACAAACAGAAAGTTACGGTGGCAGCTCACTTATGCTATGGGAAGGAATTTCTCTTAATGGACGTATTAATTTGGTGGTTATCGATCAAGGAATACTAACCGCCGATCGCTATATAAGGGAGATCCTGCGACCTCATGTTATCTCATATGACCTTCGTATAGGTGAACATTCTGTTCCAATGCAAGATAATGCAAGAACACATGTCGCAACGAGAGCACAAGAGTTTCTGCGAGAAGCTAATAGAGCACGTGTAGGATCATGGGATGGACGATACAGCAACGGCAAATTACGTTTAGAGACCTCCGAAATCATAACTTGGAACAACAGTACATTCAAAACCTATTCGGAAGCCTAACCAGGAGGATGCATTGTTGTAGATATTAAGGATCATAATTCTGTATTGTTTTTGTGTGATGCTCTCCTCTATCAAAATTTAATAAAGATTATTTAAAAACCTAATTTGAGTAGGTACCTACTTTTCCACTTTGTCTCGTATACATTTTCCAATTCCTGCTAGGTTTATTAACTAATTTTATTGTTTTAACAAAGCTTTGGTGCGTTTGAATAAACTTGTTCTTGTTTCCGGAAGCTTTCTAATGTTTCATGTCATATATCTGTTAGTCTATAACATTATCCCGTTTATTGCTATTATCAATTTCGGGTACTGGTAGCAGTTTGAATCTTCATTTTTTCAAGAAATAATGAAATATAGTAGAACATTGTAATAATCAATTTGTTAAAGTTTTCATTGTGGTTATGGTAATTTAATGTATTCTTTATTTGATTCAACAATACGTTTCTGACCTTCTTCATGGATGCTGTTTTCAGGAATTTTTTGAAATGTTGCCTAATGACAAAAGTTAACCGATAAGTAGATTTTTTGAAATTTTGCCATTTGAGA